GCTAATCCAAAAGTAAATAGAAGAGGAGAGAGGAGATCGCATGGCTGTCTATTATAATTTTGACTTTTTAACCCTCTTCTCAGCTTATATTTTTGTATTTTTATTTTCTTCTTTTATTTTCTGTTTCTTTAATTTTTGTTTGTTTAAATATTAAAATACTAACAAGAAAATTTTCGACGGATTTTAAATAAAATATTAAATTACGGAGGCTAACATGACCTTAAAGCAAGAAACAGGGTGTCTTTGTTGAAGCATATCTTTTTTAATTTCCAACCGATTCGAATAATTTTTATACCATTCGAAAGCTCTTGAAAAGAGGATCATTTTTCTATACAGGGTTGATTTTATCAGATAATCTGATAAAAAGTTATAGCCAGATAACACCAAAAATGTCAATTTTTCGCACTTAAAAGGCTGTAACTTTTCAACAAATGATTTAATCTTAAATATCCTGCTAGAAAAAATAATGCTCACATTTAGAGCTTTAAAATGATATAAAAATCCTTCAGATTGGTTGGGAAATCAAAAAGTTGTGGTTAAAAATATCGGGATAACTCAACATCAAAAGGAGGTTAAAAGTTGCGTACTAAAAAAATCAAAAAACCGGTTTTAAATGATCACAACAAGGAAATGTGTTCGTCTTTAAATTTTAATAGTTTAAATAAAAAAAAATCAAATTTAAAAAAGAAATAAAATTCAATAACCGTAAAAGAAAACAAAAAATCTTTTATTTTAATTTTTTCTAATTTTTTTAATTTTTTTTTATTTTTACCTGGCAACGATTTCTTATTAAATTTTAATATTTAAATTATATTTATTAGAAAATATTTTTAAAAAATTAAAAAAATCTTTTTGTGAGTAAAAACTGTCAGGAAAAGCACACAAATTGATTACTCTCGGTTTATTTATTTTTTTCTATTTTTTGTTTATTTAAAACCGTTCGCTGAACTGTGAAGAGCGAACGTCTGCCGTTACAAAAAATATTTTTTTGTGATGTGGCAGAAATTTATTGGAGAGGTGGCGGAGCATCGATTACGCTCAATTCTCTCTCTTTGTCACCTACAAAAACTCTCCTGTGCCATTTATTATTTAATTCTGATTTGTATTTTTATTGTATTTAATTGGGAGAAAAAATACAAATCAGAAATTATTTGTGTTTTTGAGTTAAAGTTTATTTTCTGTATTTTTCGATGTTTTTGTATTTTTCTGAAAACACAAATACATGACAAAAACACAAAAACAATGTTTATAATTTAATTCTGATTTTTAATTTTTGTGTTTCATTTTTCTGATGTTTCTGTAAATGTTTTAATATGTGTTTTTCTGTTGCAAAACACATTAATTCTGATTTATTCCAACAACTCAAAAACATCCACAAAAACATCAGAAACAAAAACACAAAAATTAAAAATCAGAATTTTAAATAAACTTGTTTTTATGTTTTAATGTTTTTCTCAAACAAGTTTTAGTCTTTTTGCAACCTTAAAAACATTTGTATTTTCACAAACAAAATACATTTTTGCTTAAATAAATTTTTGTGTTTTCTCATGTTATACCTAGCTAATTTTCTAATGCTAGCAAAGCTTTTTTTTAAATATTTTTCCAAAAATCGTCATTAATAATTCCCTTACCAAACAATAGTCAAATCTATCCAAATGCAAATCATCTCCAAAAATCAACCAAAATAACCATGCATTTTTACAAAAAATAAAAACTTTGTAAACCAAACACAAAATCAATGCGATAAGCGGCAACATTAAATGCTGCAAATGCAAAATAAAAAAATTAATGTTTATTTGAAAATTATTAAAAATACTAAAATATAATGTTTCAAATTTATTATTTATTGTTACAATCTTTTATTTTCATATTCATTAAAAAATTTTTTTCATTCATTTTAGTAGTTTAATTAATAATCTCTTAAATTAATTATTTATGTATTTCGCCAAATGTGTTTTTTCTAACCGGAAAAATACAAACATTTATTTATCTAAAACACAAAATAAAATTCTGATTAGTGTTTCAGAAGTGTTTGTTTAAATTAAAAATTCTGATTTTTCATAAAAACACAAACACAACAAGCAAGACCAGAAATTGCGTTTAAGATAAATTCTGATTTATTTGTTTTTGTATTTTCTTTAAGTTGCTTTTGAAAACAAATAAACTTGAAGAAAATACAAAAATACTTTTCCGGAAATAAAAACACACAAAATAAACTTTCTGTAACAAAACTCGTTTTAATTCAAAAATTAAATTTTGTAACAGAAAAAGATTTTATTTGAATCATTTAAAATTTAATCTAAAAAAATAAATATATATTTTGTAAAAATGATTCATTTACTAGTTTCATTTATTTACCATTTTCTCTTTTTTCAATGCATGATCCTTTGAATCATTTCCATGATTATTTTTTGGACAAGGAAAAAATTTAATATTGAGAGCAAACATTTATTTTAAATATTTTTAAAATTTTTAAATTTTTTAAAATTTCAAAATATTTTTTAAAATTATTTTTATATTTTTTGTCGTTAATTTGTTAGTTTATTAAGTGTTTTTGTATTTTCGATAAGTTTATTGTTAAAGAGGAAAAATACAAAACTCAAAATAAAACACATTAATTAATTATGTATTTTTTCCAAGTTTATTTTATTAATTGGAAAAACACAAAAAAAATACAAAAAAAATACAAAAACACAAAAACTTTCCGGAACAATAAAATACTTATACATTATTAATTTTCTAAGTATTTCTCTCCAAGTTTATTTCTATACAAATAAATCAGAAAAGAAAATACAAAATTATTTTCCGGAAACACACACACACCTTTTAATTAATTAATGAGTAATTAATTTTATTTTAAAAACAGAGCAATCAGAATCCGACAAACGACATTCATCTGCGTCAATTCCCCCACTCTCTAATTTATCAAATTATTCACCAAAAGAGGTGAAAGAACAGGAAAAAGAAGAAGAAATTTTAAAACAAGAAGAAGAGTCATCATTAAAATCGTCATCTTGTTCTTCTTCTGCTGGTGAAATCACTGACGGTCAAATAAAAGAAGAAGAAAATTTAAAAAATAAAAATAATGTCGAAAATAGCTGTGATAGTAAGGAAAAAGTAAAAAAATATGTATTTATAATTAAAAAAAATTAAATTAATTTTCAGAATTTAATTGACGAAGAAATTAACGACAAAAATAAAGAAAACACAAATAATTCTGATTTTAATAAATTAACTAATAAATTGGCAACACCAGAATTTGTTGCTACAGGAAGCTTGGAAAAAGAAAAAAGTTTGTATTTTCTTTTAAAATTCTGGTTTTCTGATAAAAGAAAAATACAAAAAAATTCTGATTGTTTGGGGATGAAATTCTGATTTTTATTTAAAAACACAAATTCTGATTTTATTTTGTGTTTAAGATTTTTTGTTAAAATTAAAAATTCTGATTTTTATAACTACACAAACACAGTTATCAGAACAAAAATTCTGTTTTATTTTGTTTTATTTAAATTCTGATTTTTATTTAAAAATACAAATTCTGATTTTATTTTGTGTTTCAGAATTAGGCAAAACTTAAAACACGCATAATTTCTTTGTGTTTTATCTAACTAAAATTGTATTTTTTAATTTTAGCCAAAACACATCCATTTAAATTGCTCAAGTTGTGTATAAAAGCAATGATACCCAAACAAAAACTCGAGTCAAACAGCGGTGATCCTGTTAAGGAAAATACAAAGAAAGGAAGGAAAGAAGAGCATAGAATTGTTACGGCGAATGACAGGGAATTTAATGCTCAATTTAAATATGCGGTAAATCAAATTTGAAAATTTTTAACAAAGAACTTGTAAATTTTGAAAAATAAAATCATTTATGGTCATTTAAGGTCACTGTATTTCATTACAGCATAAAATACCACTTTCAATTTTGGTTTTGTTTAAAACTCTTTGTAGGAGACTGAACCGCAGTCTCCAATTCCAAAAATTACCTAACTTAATATTCACCCCTTAGCTAAAGACAATAATAAATTTTATTATACTAAATAAATTGAATTTTAACATATTAAGTAGAGATGAAAACTTGAACTGTAAATTCAGAAGAACTTTTATTTTAAGACAGAATTTTACAAATTTGAGAAATAAGAAAATACTAAAAAAAGGACCAATTTAATTCTTGAAAATTTTTAAAATAAATCAAAATTAATTTTTTTCCAAATTTTTAAAGGACAATTTTATCAAAACATCCAAATATTCACTGCTCACTTTTGTCCCAGTCAATTTATTTCAACAATTTACCCGAATTGCTAATTTTTATTTTCTTGTTTTGCTATGTCTTCAATGCATTCCTCAAATAAGTTCTGTAAATTGGGTATATACTTTAGTGCCTCTTAGTTTTGTGCTCCTTTGTAGTGCCATTAAAGATGGTTACGATGATTTGGTAAATTTTTTTTTATTAAAAAAGTTACTACTTGCTCTTGGATTTAAAGTAGAGATAATCCGAAAATTTCTATACATACAGAAATATCCGGGGGTATTCTAGGGTTAGTATCCGTAATACATATTGACGATATACTTTAGAGGAGTACAGAAAAGCTAAACAAGGAGTGGGCCTCATCATAAGATACCCCATTAAGGCTGAAAATTCTACATATAATTGAGAGTTAAATATAGTAATTAAGGGGTATCGTTTAGTTGATAGATTAACACTTCCACTATATCACGTACTGTTGTCTGTTCAAGAACAGAAGAACCGAGGATCTTTCCTTTTGATTTTTCTGTTCCTTCCTTACATTTTTCAAGCCCAATAACCTTGATATCCATTGAAATATAAATAATCTTGAAGGGTTTGATAAGAAAATTTAATTTTTAGGCAAAAAGGAACGGTAAAAATTTTTAATTAATTTAAAGCAAAGGCATCGTAATGACCGTATAGTAAATCAAAGGGTAGCTTATGTTCTACGTTACAACACAAAAAGAGGAAAGATTGATATTTGTGAAGAAGAATGGATGCATGTAAAAGTTGGTGATATTGTCCGTATGGAGAGTGGGGATTTTATTGCAGCTGATCTTTTATTGGTAAATTGAAAAATTTTCTGAAATTTTTGAAAAAAAATTTTTTTTTCTTAGTTATCCACATCAGATTCAGGCATTTGTTATATCGAAACAGCCGAATTGGACGGCGAAACTAATTTAAAGACAAGAATGGCGTTGCCGTGTACAACTGAAATGGGGGACATAATTGATAAAATATATGAATTTGATGGTGAGAAATTCTTTAAAAAATTTTTTAAGGGAGAACAATTTTATAGACAATAGACTAGGTTTGATTAGCAATCACACCTTTGAGGAGGGATTAAAAATCTGCTTAAGGAAAAAGTTTAATTGAGTTTCGCGTGAGATTTCAAAGATTTTTTCGGGTCGACTTTCGGATAACCAGACTCACATCCCTAGAAGGCTAAGCTTGAGGGCGGGTCGACGCAGAAGACCCACAGACAGAAGACCCACAGACAGAAGACCCACAGACAAAAGACCCACAGACAATTTTTCTTATTTTTATCTACACTGCTTTCATATTGGCTCCTTACCTATGGTTTTTTTGAGGGTCCTTGCTCCTGCGAAGGATGTCAAGCATGCCCACTGCATCGATAACAAGAATAGGTCTATGTTACTAGTGCAGAACCCAGCGACCGTTGACTACCTGCGAGACGCGTGCCGCAAAACCTCGCGCGAAGCGCCAGTTTTTGCACAAGCGTCTCGCCGACGCCCCATAGGTTTATATTGTTTGATTTTCGTATCGTAACTTAGTCACGTCTTGTTATTCTAAGCTTTTAGTAGAAATTTTTCCTTGTGGATCTTTTGTCTGTGGGTCTTCTGTCTGTGGGTTTTCTGTCACTACGCCGCTTGAGGGTTAAGCTTTCTTCAAGTTGTAACAATAACAATTCAAACATACCGTTAAAGCACTGTTTGAAAATTTTTTGCAGGGGACTGAAGCGCAGTCCCCAATCCCAAAAATTCTAGCAAGGAGCACCTGCATAGGTCAGGTTAAGTGCAAAGATAAATCTTTATATGTATATTAAATAAATTGAATTTTTACATATTGTGTAGAGAAGAAGATTCAAATTGTAAATTAGTAAAAAAAGCTTAAGACCAACATTTTTAATCTGGAGTAAAATAATCTTTTTAATTAATTCCTTTTTGGCTTTGAAAATAAATTTACAAATAATAAAAATCAGAATTAAATCTAAACATTAACAAAATTAACCAGAACTTCAAATATTCTGATTTTGTTTTCCTATAATTAATTCTGGTTTTCTTCAAATTTAATTCTGATTTATTATGTGTTTTTGCAGTCCCACATGTTACTCTAGTTCAGAAAAACAAAAATCTCTATTAGGCATATTAATTTCTTTGCAATTTATTTAAAATATTTTTCTCATTAAAAAATTATTTTTCAAGGTTTAATAGTCTGTGAACCACCCAACAACCGATTAGACCAATTTAATGGCAGACTTGAATGGTTAGGACAAAAATACAATTTGGATAACAATAATATGTTGTTGCGTGGATGTTGTTTAAGAAATACTAGATTTTGTTATGGGGTTGTTGTATTTGCTGGTGCTGATACTAAATTAATGCAAAACAGTGGAGAATCGCCTTTAAAGAGGACTAGTTTGGATAAATTCTTGAATATCCTGATACTTGGGGTGAGTTTTAATTTTGAAAAAATCAGAATTAAAAATAAACGTGGAAACATGGGAAAATAAATATAGAACAAAAAATCAGAACAAAAAATCAGAACAAAATCTGAACAAAACAAAAATTAAATAAAAATCAGAATTAAATCTGAACAAATAAAAGTAAAAAATAAATCAGAACATTTAATTAAAACACTCAGAAATTGATCAGAACAACATTTAAACAAACCAGAATTAAATATTAAAATGAGAATATTTTAAAGAAAACACTCATAAATAGGATGTAGAAATCAGAATTAAATTCAAACATTACCAGAATTAACAACTACAAATATTCTGATTTTGTTTTCCTATTATAAATTCTGATTTTTAGCTATGGTGTTTTGTTCAGATTTTGTTCTGATTTATATATTTTTATTATTCTGAACATATTTAAAACAGAATAAAAACACAAAAATAATTCTGATTTTAATGTCTTTTAGATTGTTCTGTTTCTCTTTGTTTGCACTTTAATTTGTACTTTAATGACTGGATTTTGGGAACAAATTGTGGGCAGACATTTTCGTGTATTTCTGCCTTGGGATGAAATTGTTCCTCGAATAAAGAATTTAACGACAGTTCAATTACCTGTTGTACAAGGAGTTACTTCTTTTTCGGGAGATGATTCTGGTGCAGAGGAGAGGGCTATTGCCCCCTCTCAAGTTTTGTTTATTGTTGCTTTACAATTTTTCTCTTATATTATTTTGTTAAATACTGTTGTGCCTATATCTCTATATATCAGGTAAAATTTGAGAATCGAAATCAGAATTTTAAAAATCCGAATTAAAATCAGAATAAAATTTTTAGAATTAAAAATCAGAATAATATCAGAATTCACAAAATCAGAATTTTAAAAATCAGAATAAAATATTTTTAGTGTTGAAATGATTCGTCTAGCCCATTCAAAGTTTATTAACAGCGATTTAAAAATGTATGACCCAAAAACTGATACTCCAGCAAATGCTAGAACGAGTACTTTAAATGAAGAATTGGGACAAGTTCAATATGTTTTTAGCGATAAAACTGGAACTTTGACTCAGAACGTTATGGTAATGAAAAAAATTTTTTGTGTAGAGAGGGAGAGGTGGGGTGGATAGAAAAAAGATTTTAGGTGGAGGGAGGAAGAAATTTTCAAAAAAAATTTTCAAATTTTCCCCAAGGTTTTCAAAAAATGTTCAATAAATGGACGCAGCTACGGCGACTTTCGAAATGAAAGGGGGGATGTAATTGAAAATATTGATGAAAATACACTTCCAGGAATTGACTTTTCTTTCAACCGGTGGCACGAAAAGAATTTTAAATTTTATGACAAAACTTTGCTTATTGATACTGTGGACGGGTTGAAGGAGGTAAATGAGCGAGTGTTCTATCCTATCAACTAGGGGAATTATTTTAAATTTTTTTGACATCACTTTAGGAGAAATTGTGTCAATTAGGAAATCTCCTCTTCAAGACCACGTTTATTTGCCCCTAAATCCACCAATATCTTCCTACCCAATGTCTCTCATAATCTCCCAAATCCTTCGATATCTTTTTTTATTTTTCACTAAAATATACGTAGGGTAGCGGTAAATTTGAATGGTCCTTTCAATTATGGATTGCCCAGACACACATGATTTATTTGCCATTTCATTATAAAATCTTTTGCGGGTTAACTAGTACATTCACTAACAACAACCTTTAAACGATTAATTTTATCACTAATTATTAGGTACAAGAATTTTGGCGTTTACTGGCCATTTGTCACACTGTTATGCCTGAAGGAAAAGGAGACGTACTTGAATATCAAGCCCAAAGTCCGGATGAGGCAGCCCTCACATCTGCAGCTCGCAACTTTGGATTTGTCTTTAGAAGGAGAACACCACAAACTATAACGTTGGAAGTTAATGGACGGACAGAGGTATTTTAATCCTTTTATAAGCTCTTTTGTCGAAGTTTATTGCTCGAAAATGCTGCGTTGCGGGAAATCCACGGATATCTGGGCCAGCTTATCGGTAATTTGTTCATAAGACACCCCCCACTCCTATTTGAGTCTCAGATTAATTTTCCTTCTTTGCTGTCAATCATTTATTTTCCTCCTTTTTCAATGCCAATCATTTTCTTCCCATAAATATAGGACACCCAAAAGGGCGCGCGGCCCTAACGGCGCAAAACCATAACTTGCTTAAATCTTTTTGAACCTTACCAAAATTAATATTATACGATTCCTCTCATCGAGCTAGAGAGATTTATAACAAAAATGACAAGGGTCAAAAATATTTCAGCAAGTTATAGCTTTGTGCCATTATGGCCGCGCGCCCTTTTGGGTGTCCTATATTTAAGGGAAGAAAATGATTGGCATTAAAAATGAGGAAAGTAAATGATTGACAGCATAGAAGGAAAATTAATATAAGACTCAAATAGGAGTGGGGTGTCTTATGAACAAAGTACCAGCCTATCTTGGCCCAGAGGAGGTTGAAATGGGGGGGGGGGGCTGCAAACATTAGTCACTGGTTCTGACTGAAGTTTGTACTGAAATTCTTCATCTTATGAGTAAAAACAAAGGTTCTACTTGAAATTATGGGAAACAAGGACAACAATTTTTTGGATTAGAAGAGAAATTGCATAATATATACGAATTCAATAATTGTTTTATTTAAATTTATTCTAATTTGCTACAAGTAGAATATTTGTACTCCAGTAGATGTTTATTTTTGGATGGAGGGTTAGGTGGCCACTCCAAATTTTATAACCTTATGGCGTTTCATGGACGTTTAACCGTCAAAGTATGAAGTCGAGACCGACCTTAGTGGTAGTTCGATAGTATCGTTATCGATAAATATCGTTTTCTTAACATTGATATATCGTATCGATCCGGACTCTAGTATGTAGTCTGCGTTAATTCGAATTTTTTGAAAGAAATTTGTAAATTCCTCTTTCAAAAATACATCTTTATGATGGGTTTATGATAATAAATACAAAATGTATAGGAAAAAGAAAAAATTAAATTTTGAATTATAAGAGAAATTTACTTAATATTAAAAATGTAATAATTATCTTGTCTAAGTTAGTGGAAATTTGTTTACATGTTTGAAAAAGTTGTAAGGCTTTTATTTTTGAATGGGGTTGTATAGGATTTTCCAGATGTTGTGACGGTGTTTGGTTTGAATTGGTAGCAAAAGTTTTAATGTGACTTAATCCTTATAAATGAGAGCTTTTGGTAACCTCACAACCATCCCCCACCACTGAATTTTCCTCCTCGCCTGCTTTACATCTAGATCATCCCTACCTTCTCCAATTTCAGACTTATGATGCCTTACACATTCTGGATTTTGACAATGTCCGAAAACGCATGTCTGTACTTGTTCGAACACCAAACAATCAAATTAGACTTTATTGCAAAGGAGCTGATACAATGATAATGGAAAGACTTAGCGAGAAAGATACAAGCCAATTATTACGTCAAGCAACACTTCAACATTTGGACAAATTTGCAACAGATGGTTTAAGAACACTTTGTGTGGCATATAAAATTGTTGATGGGGAATATTGTGAAAAATGGCTGGTTAGTTGAAAATTGTTCAAAAAAATTTTTTTGAATTATTTAATATTAATTTGCTTAATATATAAGAATGCAATAATTAGTTTACTTAAGTTTATTAGGATTTTTTGAATAGGGAGGTGTCGGCTAATTAAGTTTATATTTTTGGATGGTGAGTTAATAATTGCTCGCCAAATTCTTGAAACTTGTTATTTTTTGACTACATACATAGTAGTTGATATTCAAGAAAAAATTTTACAAAAAATTTTTGAAAAATTTAAAATTTTTTAATTTATAGCAGCGTTTGCATGAAGCTCTTATAGACTTGGAGAATAAAGATAAAAGAGTGGATGCTTTATACGAGGAAATGGAATGTGATATGATTTTGTTGGGTGCTACAGCTATCGAAGATAAATTACAGGATGGAGTGCCTCAAACAATTGCAGCGCTAGCTGATGCAAACATTAAATTATGGGTTTTGACTGGGGATAAAACGGTAATTGGGATTTTAACAATTTAACTCCCTTTCATACCCCAAAGTAGTGAGACCAGTTGATAGGCCGTTGATTTAAGTAAAGATGGATGTACTTGAGACAAGTTGTAAGACCCTTTCAGAATATCTTTGGGTATTGACACGATATGTATAAATTAGATAACTTCCAAAAAATCTAATTGTTATTGCCGACTGATAGTTATAAAACGATAGTTATAAATAGGGTTGTTCACGGTCGGTTAACCGAACCGGAACCGGAACCGTTAACCGGTGTTTTTGGCGAATTAACCGGAACCGAAAACCGGGGGTCGAAAACCGGCGATAACCGAAAACCGGTGACCAAAACCGCCCGGTTTCGGTTTTAAAAATACACTCCTAATGACAGGAATATTTGAGGATTTTTTTCTGACATTTGAATTCCTAAAATATATCGCAAAATATTTTTACTTTTTTTCTTGATAAATTAAATAAATTCCAGTTTTACTATAAGAGATGTGTGGTTAAGTGGTTAAGGTGTTCTTCAATTTTACTTGAAGACCCAGAAGGGTTAGTTAAAGTACTAATCGCAATATGACGAAAAGTCATATTCTTTATTCCTTAAAAGCAGAAATGGGTCAGAATTCCGATTTCCTACGTTTTTTCCTTCATATTTCCAAAATTTTGGAAAAATTTTCGATTTCAGTCAATTTTTAAGGCATATTTCCGACTAATAATTTTTTCAAAATTTTTAAAATTTTTGCCTGCGGCGCTGAAAAAGTAAGATTTCTGGCTTAAGGATCTTCCAAAATTCTCAGAATTTTCGCCTGCGGCGCTGAAAAAGGAAGAAATAGGTCTTCTTGGTTCATTAAAATCCCAAAACTTTCGCCTGCGGCGCAGTAAAAGAAAATTGAATGGTATAGCAGAGGATTAGGATGGATTAAGGTGGATTTGGAGTTATATAGTGTGAATTCAATGGGTAATATTTAATATCGAGGGTCCTTGATAACCAGCGCCCTTGATAACTTACATCTTCCTACACCCCGATCATTGATATGCATTAATCCACCGATCATCGATATCCCTTAATCCCTCTACTTTCCTAATATACAAAAACAGCCATTTATCTCGCCATATACCCTTTAATTCCTCGAATTGTTGAAATTTGTAAATTAATCAACTCCTAGTATATATGTAGAATATTTACTTAAAAGCGTTAGAATGTGACAAAATCTCAATGGGATATTTTGGATGAAAATTTGTCCAAAAACCGGTCCCGGTTAACCAAAAACCGGGGGTAAATCAAAAACCGGAACCGAAAACCGGGGGTACCGGTTAATAACCGGTAGTGAACAACCCTAGTTATAAACACTAGAGTTCGAACTTTTCAAAATGCCGGGCCCGGGACCCGGTTTTTTTTACTCAAAATCGCACCCGGACCGGTTTTTCCGGATAAAACCGGAAAAACCGGTTAGCCCGGAAAAACCGGATTTTTTCAGACCCGGGCCCGGACCCGGTTTTTTCTAAATTTATTAAAAACATAAAAAAATTATCATACATACAAAGGATCGGAAAACATACAAAGGATCGATTAAAGGATAGATGAATCAAAGGATAGAAACGCTTAAGGATAGATAGCAGGAGTGTCCGCAAGTGAAAAAAATTTTCCGCAGCCGCAATCCGCAATTTTATTTTTAAAATCCGCAGCCGCTATCGGTAGTAGAGTTCGAACGAGTGATATAGAAGATTATGAAGCAACTCGCAATTTTTATTTTAAAACACGCAGACGCAATCCGCAGTACGCAAGTCAAAAAAACACACATATACGCAATCCGCAATTTTTGAAATAATTGGTAGTCTGGGAAAATGAGGGGATTTGAAGTATTTAGGAAGCTTCCATGTGATATCAGATTTCGAGTGATATAGAAGATTATGAATTTGAAGGGATTCATAGAGAACTCATGAGATTTGTAAGAATATTAAGGGATATCAGAAAATTAAGCTCTCGATATACTTCTTAATCCCATTAATTTTTCTTCCCTTTTTAAAAATTTTGAGAATTTTGGAAGGAGGGGCTAGATTTCTTCCTTTTCTACCGCCGGAGGTGAAAATTTTGAGAATTTTGGAAGGTAGGCCCCCAGATTTCTTCCTTTTTACCGCCGGAGGTGAAAATTTTGAGAATTTTGGAAGGTAGGCCCCCAGATTTCTTCCTTTTTTACCGCCGGAGGCGAAAATTTTGAAAAATTGGATGGCCAAACAGCTATATTTCTTACATTTTTTGACTTCATCAAAAAGACTCCGGGCCCGGCAAAAAATTACCGGGCCCGGGACCCGGTTTTTTTACACAAAATCGCACCCGGGCCGGTTTTTCCGGTTAAAACCGGAAAAACCGGTTAGCCCGGAAAAACCGGATTTTCTCAAAAATACCCGGTTCCGGGCCACCGGGCCCGGAAAAAACCGGTCCGGGCCCGGCCCGGGTTCGAACTCTAATAAACACTAACTTTATTCTACATATATCCTAAATATAAAATTTACTTAATATATGTAAATCCAATAATTAAATTTACATAGGTTTATTTTTTTAGTTAGAATTAAAACGGTGGTGCGGAAAAATATTGTGTTTTTTGGATGGTGAGGCAATCATGACTCGCCAAATTTCCTGAAAATTCGTTGAGACTACCATATTGGATATTCTTTTCAGAATATGGACCTTATACATTATTACATTATTATTTTATTATAGGCATTAGATCCGGAATTTTGTATCGTATCGATTGTAATACCGTGAAGTACCGATAACTTCAAAATTTTACACTACAACCCGGGCTATTAGAGACTAGATAAGCTTCATAAATCGCCAATTAGGTTTCTATATACTAAAAACACGTACTTAAAGTATATAGACGGCCTTCATAATATTCATAAAAGCAAGTTAATTTAAAGGAAACAGCCATCAATATAGCCTTTTCTTGTGGATTATTAACCGAATATATGCGTGAAGTGTCCATTATCGACGGCAAGGATGAAAAGGAAGTGGAAGTTCAATTGAAAGATACTATAAGGCGTATGCAAAATGCTAAAGTGCCACAAGTGGGTTTTTTTTTAATTTTATGTTTTCCTACTTTCAAGTGTGTTGTGGACATTTATAGCTTCATAGATGTAGTTGAGCCTCATTATAGGATCCTCCTATATTCCTCTGATATCTCTCTAATCTGCCAGATACCCTCTATTCTCCCCATAATACTTCTTACATTCTATTTATGGTTGGGGGCCCGACCAGTCCGATAGATTGAGTTCAGCCTCGAATTTGGGCCCGAAAAAGACTCGATCCCGGCCCGATAAAAATGAGGCTCGAAAATAAAGACTTAAACTCAGCCCGATTCGAAAACCCCAACCCTAATTCCATTGATATCTCCTTATATCTCTATAATTCCTCAAATATCACTTATGTAGGTGTCCCTCTGGTATTTTCCAAAAATACTCCCAATTTAAGCTAGAGTTGTACCCCGACCCCGAACCCCGACCCCGTTCCCGAACGATTTTTTCACGATTCTCCCCGACCCGAACCCCGCCCCGAAACATTTCGAAAACCACGTACCCCGACCATAAAAGTTTCGGGGTTATCGGGGTTTTATACACCCAAAAAATGCCATTTTTGTGAGAATTTTAAGAGAAAAATTTTAAAAATTTCCTCACAATTTACTTTGCCTTTATTATTTTTGAAAGAAAAATGAATGAAATATCAAAATTTTCTTTCATTTTTAATTAAGAGACTTGTGGTTGAGTGGCTTAGTTGTTGGTTTTAGCCTATATTTCCATTAATATAGGATTGGGTTCGGATCCATATAAGGAGAACTCTTTTGTTTTTATATTTCTTTACAAAAACAAATTATTAACGAGTTAAATTTTAATTTTAAAATATTAATTTTATTTTTAACTGATATCCCTTGAACGACCCTTAATCCTTCAAACCCCTTGTATCACCAGTAAGGGGTTCCCAACCATAACAGTTGGAAAACTATCGAGGTCCTGTTAACGGGAATCAGAGATATAAAGGAATTTGTAGTATATCGAAGAATTAAGGAGTTATAAAGGGATTTAAAGGGATATAAGGTTTAGATTAAAATGGATTTGAAAGAATTACGTGAATTTAACGGAATTAACAAGGATTTCGTGGGAGATTTAAGGATTAATCCAAGATATCTCCTGATATCCGTCCAAATACCCTTATCCGCAATACTTCAATATTCTTATTAATCACTGATATCCCTTGAAACAACAAAAATCACTCCAGATCACCTTGCACCCATAGATATACCATTTAATCCCTAAAAATCCCGCTTAATCCCTCCATATCCACTTATATCTCAAGTTATACACTTTAATCCCTTCAAATCCCCTCTAATTTCTCCAAATCCTACTTAATTTTTGAATAAATTAGCGAAAATATACCGAGATCTGATTATTTTTGAGCATTTTTTTCTCTAAAAATTTTTTCCCTAAAACCCCGTACCCCGACCCGAACCCCGGTCATATTTTGCTCCCCCGACCCGAACCCCGCCCCGAAACAATTGGAAAACCCCGTACCCCGACATACCCGCCCCCGAACGTTCGGGGTACAACCCTAATTTAAGCTACCTATACCTCATCCTATGAGGTACGCATATTTCAGCCCCAAGTGTGTTTCTTATAGTGAGGTCTCATTGTATTTTAAAAAAGTTTTTTTTAGAAAATTCAATCAATTTAACATTTTTAAAGATCATTTTTACTTACATTTTTGAAATTTTGAATTTTTTCCCTTTTTTAAAAAATTTTTACCCAAAAATTCAAAAAAAAATATTTTTTACCCTTTCCATAAACATTCCTGTCGTAGGAAAATTTAGCAATTGACAACATTTTACAACAACATAAAACAAACAACATTACCAACATTTTACTCTTCCAACTTGGTTTTTGTAGCTAATGAGAACGGTCATTTAAATGTTGGGAAACTTAAAGAAAAAGAAACATTGTTGTCTAAACAAACAGAGAAAAAGAATAAGCAGAAAAATAGAGGAAACGACGATCCGGAAAAACATTCCGGAAAAACATGCGAGAGTGTTGTAGAGACTGTGGGAGAAGAAGAGAACAAATGTTCGGATGAATGTTTTGACAATGTTCAGAATTATATTGCCCAACAAATTGCCTTGTTGGAACAATGCGAAGTTGCGGAGCTTATAGAACAAGAAAAACAAGTTTTAGAAGAAAATGAGAGAAGGAAGAGAAAATTAAAACAAATGAGAAACAGTAGAAAATCGCAACAAGTAGACAATGTTTTTGATGAACTAGAGAAAGAACATTGTTCTAAACTTTTTCTTAAAAAGTTTGCTTTTGATGAAGAAATAAGGCAGTTTAAGTGGATTACTGAAGAAGAGGAAGAAGGGGCCGATGTAAAAGAGGAGGGGAAGACTATAATATTTTTGGATGGAGGAGATAATGAAGAGATAATATTAAAGGATAACAATGTTGATGTGGAGGTGTTGTGTAAAATTTATATAGTTAAAAGCAAAATCTCTGTCTTAACACCCGTCAGGGAATTGTAAAATAATAGATACAAGTTTTCTCTACACACGGATACCTCCTCCTTGGGATCATTTAGATACACTGAATTTATATTTACCACTGACGGCTTACGTTATTTGTTAGGCTGAGAGAAAACTTCGTTGGCCTTACACTTGATCTTTCTGTTCGATTTGGATTTGACAACATCTTTGATTTTGACAATTTAGGTAAACGAGTGCTTGTCTTGTTTAACACTAAACAATCAAATTCGGCTTTACTTCAAAGGGGCTGATACTTCTGGCCATGGCCTGATTTGAAATGAACGCAGCCTAACCCTGATATCAGACATCGGGCTTTTTTATCACATTTCCACAAATATTACTGCCAGTAGTTTATTTATAAACCCCCTCTAAAGAGCAGTATAATAAAGGGGGTGCATTTATGATAACTCCACTTTGGGTCCCTACGATATCTTGCTTGTTCATATTCGAATATGATAACCTTGGTTGGGTATTTTAAGACAGAGGTTTTGCAATAATATGCTTGTTTAACTATGTATCAACGTCTAACCATCACTCACCTTGAAATAAAAAAATTTCTACTAACAAAAGCTTTCATCATCTAACCATCAAGCTTCAACTCTAACCCTCAACCCGCTTTTTCTAATTAATTTTTTAATTTAATTGTGTTGTGCTTTACACCTTACTTTTGCTTTACTAAAAAATTATTTTTTCTTAATTTTTCTTTAAAAATTTAATTTAAGACAGTTGTTGGTGTCAGCAGCTTCTATTTACCTCCAAGAACTCCAATTAGAGAACTTTCCCCATCTCCAACAGAATTACCACAAAATCCAAAAGATGCTTCTTCTAGACCTCTCTCCCCAATAATTACTTCCCCGACGACCGATAGACAACAAAGTCGTCGACCTACGGAGATGACAACCGTATTCCCTGCTAGTTTGAGGCATGAAGAAGGATTGGGAATTAATGGTTTGTTTGGATGGGGTTTTTAAGGATTAGTCTATTATATTGACCCTTTTGATTGATAGACAGACATCAGGGATCCTGATATATTCCTAATTTTGAAAACATATTAGGAAGTCCCTCGCAAGCCTAGTCCCTAGCAAACATGCTAAACATAATAATGAACCTATCATTCAAGCCTTTCTTAACTTAGGGAAATTGAAGAATAACTTGAAAATTTTAGAAAATTTAGTCGATAGATTCACAATTGGGAAAATTATGTAAATAGTGGATTTGGAACTTTTAGCTCCAATTATACCTTTGAAGAGAGACCTTTCCAAGATTAGATAAGGTATGTAATGAAGACGAGAGCTCCAGCTTTCTAGCATTTAGAAGTTAACTGCCAAAGGGGCACAGCATCGATGCCTGCCCGTAGCTAAACTCTTACTTCTTTCTTACAATTCTAAAGAATTAAATTTAATCTCCCTTTACTTAAGGAACTAGCAACGTTTTGACTGCAAGATCTGAACATCCAGGCAATAATTTAACGCCAACTCTTGCTGGGCCCACCAGTGATGATTTAAAAGAAGGAAGTGGAGGGTATGCTCTTGTAATTAATGGGGAATCATTGGTGCATGCATTAAAGACACAACATGAAAAAATATTTTTGGAAATTGCGAGGAACTGCACGGTGTGTGGAAAAAATTTATTAAAAATTAAGCAAAAAATTTTTTTAAGTCAGTCATTTGTTGTCGTGTAACACCCCTTCAAAAAGCCAAAGTTGTCGAGTTGGTAAAGCGAAATATTAAAGCTGTTACTTTGGCAATTGGTGACGGTGCTAATGATGTTAGTATGATTAGAACTGCACATATTGGTGTTGGGATTTCTGGTAAAATTTTTAAATCTTTATGGGAAAATAATATGTAGCGCCTGACAATAATAATTTTCTTAATTAATATAGGTATTCTGTTCAAATTCTCTTAAGTAATCCTTAAATTCTTCTCTCTATACATATAAAGCTTATCACTACCATTGTTATAATAAAAAATTCTGCGAGATTTAATCTCAATTAGTCAAGCCATAAAAGCTTGACTTGCAAAAATAATCTCAGAAAACAAAGGAGGATTTTATTTGCAAGGAATTAAATCCACATTTATCAAAATCAATTGAATTAATTAATATTATGCACATGTCACTTGACAAATATAAAAAAATTAAGCCAGGCCTTCGAACTCCTATTATGTATGGGTTAGCGAAAGCAAACTTAAATAGCATGCTAAAATCACAAATAGTCGAGAATTAAAGCTCGACTTGCAAAAATACTTGATTTATAAAAATACTTGAATTACTTGAATTTAAATCTACTTTTATTTAAAATTAATTGAATTAATTAATATTTCGTTAATGACTCTCAAGGAGGCTTTCTCTCCATAGCATGGAGGGCACTCTCAAGGGATGCTCTTATTTAGACAGCCCATATTAGACAAGTTATAACAGGATTGATAATTTTACATTATAGGCCATGAAGGAATGCAAGCCGTTCTCTCATCAGATTTTTCAATTGGACAATTTCGATATCTAGAAAGGTTGCTTCTCGTGCATGGAAGACAGTCATATCTTCGAATGTGCAAATTTCTTCGATATTTTTTCTACAAGAATTTTGCTTATACACTTACTAATTTTTGGTATTCTTTCTTTTCCGGATATTCTGCTCAGGTATTTTCCAAGGAAAAATTTTCAAAAAAAAATTTTTTCCTTCCCTTCAGACTGTCTATGATCCTGTGCTCATTTCCCTCTATAATCTTCTCTTTACGGCTATGCCTGTTTTGGCTATGGGTATTCTAGATCAAGACGTAAATGATGAATACAGCCTTAGATTTCCACGTCTTTACATTCCTGGCCAATTCAACCTATTTTTTAATATGCGAATATTTATTTATTCTGTGATACATGGAATGATAAGGTATTCGTTATATTTAAATTAATGCTTCCTAGTTATGTTTCGAAGCAAAAATAACAAGAAATAAATCAGAATGTCAACAAAACATTAATTGTTTCAGTTTTTGAAAGACATGTTTTTAAAAACATTAAACATGTTGATATTAACCTGATATAAGTTAAGCAATCTTAAGTTTACAAACAAGCTTAATTTTACGAACTTAAGTTTGTCTTGTTTGTTAACTTAACTGTTGTAAACTTAAGATTGTTAAACTTGAAAATTCATTAACTTAAGACTTTTAAATTAAACTTTTTAAGCTTAATCTTGCAAGGTTAAAAACTTGCAACTTTGTTTGCAAACTTTAAGCTAGATTGCAGTTAGATTTATTGCATTCAAAACTTGAAACCTTAAAAATTATATACCTAACCTAGCCAAGTCTATGAACTTAAGTTTATTTTTAGTTCACTTGTCCTTTTCTTCGTCCCATATGGAACCCTTTACAACGCTGTCAGTTTTACTGGACGTGATATGAATGACTACTCAATTTTGGCTTTTACATCCTTCACAGCTTTAGTTTTGGTAGTTAATGGGCAAATTGCTTTTGATACTTCTTATTGGACTTGGATTAATTGGTTTGTTGTTCTCGGTTCTGTGGCTGTTTATTTTGGTGTTGTTGTTACAATATATCAGGGTAAGTATTTGACTTTCAGTCGAACTTAGTTATCTGGATTTGCTAATGTTAGTCTCCAAATCGTATAAGAGAGCATTTTTGGGGACGAGGATTCCCTGTATGGAATCGAGGTCAGGGACCAACTATAATATTTACACATTGTATTAGGTACATAAATGTCCGATAACTCGGCAAGAGAGAGTTGATTTCTTAATTAATTTATCCCTCGTTATACGGTAGGAATTTTTTCTGCCCCAAACGTATCAAAAAGGGAGTTCTGCCTGTATTTAAATTCTAAAAATCAAAAAATCTTTTACTTTAGTTCTCCCAACACGCTGGCTTTATGGTTATGTTAGCTTTATCAATGTGGATGTTTTTGCTAGAGCTGTCGCCTTTCCAGGATTTTGGCTTTCTTTAGGTAAATAATTTTTTTTAATATTTCCATGATTAATGATAATTTTTAAAGCTTTAATTTGTGCAATTTTGCTTCTACCAACACTTGGAAACAGATTTTTCTGGTTTGACGCCCACCCCTCCTATGCTGACAGGCTTAGAGTAAGGCATCGTTTATATGGAGAGGAAAAAACTGCAAAGCCTTCAACACCTGCAGCACCTCAACATGCTTTACCCCCTAGAGGGAGAACTTCTAGATGGAGTTCTAAACAACGGGATTTACGTTCTGGCTATGCTTTTTCGCATTGTGCCGGTTTTGGGGAATTAATAGCAAAGGGAACACTTTTCAAAAATTTGGAGAATCTACGCATTCCGTCATTGTAAGTTAAATAATTTATTGGAGATGAATCGGGAAGCATTTAAAGTTACATAGTGTACATATCCGAGAAGCATTTAAGTTTCTTAGCATCCCAGAATTCTAAGTGTAGTCTAAGTCAGAATTGTCTCGGAGTCCATTTCTGACTGGTTTCCCTGCCCACTTCAAGATATAACCTTGTAACCGTTAAGTGTTTTGGATCATGTAGAAGCTTTCCTAACATCCTTTGGATCAACATAACCTTTACTTTATCGTCTTTAAATTATCCTTCCTCTTACTCTCAAAAATACTTTTTTTTAGTCAACATAAACAACAAATCCATCCAACAGAAACTAGCAGCAATACAAGTGGGAATAATGATAGTAGTAACAAATCTACTCGCCGTTTTACTGTTTTTAATGGAGGTGGAGGACATTTGCTAGATTCTTTCCGTAATGCTATTCATCATCCAAAACCAGAAAATGGGAATAATGGTGATTTTTTTATTATTTAATAATCACTTATCTAATGATTAATCTTTATCTACCTATCTGACTTAAAGTATAGCACGAGATCGAGGTTTTTTTTGAAAAAAAACCGAGGCCGGGGATCGCCGAGGCTGGAAGGTCGAGGGGCAAATTTTGGCCGGAGTTCGAGGATTTCCAAGGTTTTTAAAAACCTCTATAACCTTTCAAAGTGCAATTAAATAAACTAATTTTTTATCAAAAATTCACTAAATTATCATCAAAATTATCTGTTAAATCTGATTAAGTAGATGTCACACGCATCAGTTTAGTTGTCTGATACGGAGAGGTCTTGGGCATAAAGAAACCCCATGTCTTTTAAATTAGCGCCGCAGGCGAAAATTTTTAAATTCTGAAAGGATAAGAAGCCAGAATTCTCCCAAAAATTACTATAAATACCCAGCTTTTTTAGCTTCATGCGCCGAAGGCAAAAATTTTCAGAACAAATTCACATGTGGGGAGAACAATTTACCTAATAGATTGATAGTTCCTAGTTCCTTATAGTTACGCAGGCGAAAATTTCGAGAATTTTGAAAGGAAAAGCCAAATTTCTTCATTTTTTGGCGACGCAGGAATAAAATATTATAGAAAAGATAATGCAATTTTTCAAAAAAAACGAAAATCAACCGAAAAAACTGAGTTTATCGAACTCGAAATTTTATGAAAAAATTTGAAAATCGAAAAATAGCAACGTCGCAAATCGAATTTTTGGCGCCGCTCTTGTGGAATTTTTCCATCCGAAGAAAATTTTGAAGGGATAACCCTACATTCAAAAATAAAATGATCCTTACATGATTGAAGTCGCCATTGGTAATTTGAATAAATTCTAATAGACTTATGTAATTTTAATTATTGCATTTGTATATTTATATTAAGCAAATTTACATATAGGAGATGAAAAGAGTTAATGTTGTATCAATATCGTTTCAAGTCCGCCCGATATAATCCTTGTCAAATCCAAAGATATTCTAAAGTGGATCCTTCAACTCTCGTTTAAGTGAAACTTGTCTTCAAGTAAACTGAACCTAACTAGTCTATCAAACCGTTATCTTTAGTAGGAGGGTTATAACAGGCCTTTATCACTCCTACCTAAAAGGTAGAAGTGATAAAGGCGACGAGGGTCTCTCCCATCCTAGCAAATATAGTAGAAATGGCGGGATGGTTGACTCCTCCAAGTCTTTCACAATTTGCCTGTTGAACCACAGTGACATAAGCACTAAAAATTTGGAGGCCACTCTGACACTCCATACAAAAATAGATTATGCTTCGTACATAATTAACTGAATTCTTAAAATTAAAACAGATTTAGATAAAACAATTATTTAATTCTTATATATTATGCACTTCTCTTACCCACAAATGATTTTATTATGATATGGCTAAGACCTAGGTGCCGAGACCCGAGGCCAGTCAATTCGGTCCGAGATTGCAAAATTGGCAAGGCCTCGTCGACTTCGTGCAACCCTACTTAAAATTTCATCCATCTACCTTTTAAAATTTATTTCAAAAATTGGTCACAATGACTGACTATTGGAATAAATAAATTTTAATATTAATTATTAACAATTTTATTTATTAATTTTTAAAGGTAAAGAATCGTCTTTAAATGTTTCTGAAATCCCTGAAGAAACAACCAACACTACCAATAACAACTCCATTGCCGTAACAAAATTTTCTCCAAGCCTTCCATCAAATATAAGCACAACAACTACTTTGTTGGCAGAAATGGATGGAGGATTATTAAACAGTTTTAGAACAAATACTTCAACAATTTCTGGTTCTGGAAATAGTCAAATAACTTCAAGTTCTATTTCAAACCCTTCTGAAAATATTATAGGGCCTATGATTACACAAATTCCGGTAATTTACTTTAAAAAATAGTTAAAGTACTTGGTCATATTTTACCTTTAAACTAAATTAAAAATGATAGTTTGGTTTTTTTAGAACAAATTTTGGATTATTAGAGTTAATTAGAGGTCCCCAAAGGCGATCGTAGGATATTGGTTAACTACTTGGTCAGGCTCTTAGCCGATCGAACACTAAGCCTTTGAACTAAAGTTAACTAAGACAGCAACTAAGCTGTTTCCAGTGCTTCGAAATTTCAAATTTGCTCGTACTCGTACTCGTACTTCGTACCACCTCTTTTTTTGGCCTCGTACTCGTACTCGTACCTCGTACCACCCCTATTTTTTTGCTCGTACTCGTACCTCGTACCACCCTTATTTTTGGCCTCGTACCTCGTACTTACTCGTACTTGAGAATAAATCAAAAAATCTAAAATCTTTATGATTTTTTTGAGTTCAGGACTTCTAGTTTTAAATTTTAAGCGTTTGTGCGATAATTTTTGAATCTTGGAAGGCTTTGAAGCCACAAATCCTCCAATATAATTCATTTTCTGCGCCGCAGGCACAATTTTTGAGCATTTTGAAGTGCAAGGAGCAATATTTCCTCAAATATGGGTCGGTTTCAAAGATGGATCGGGTATATTTTCATCCGTTTTTCATTCTCTTCCATGGAACGTTATACATTTTTTACACAGTTTTATCTCCGGATATCCCTCTTAATCTCTATTCCCTTTCTGCGCCGCAGGCAAAAATTTTGAGAATTTTGAGGTCCTTAAGCCAGATTTCTTCCATTTTTCAGCGCCGCAGGCGAAAATTTTGAAAATTTCGGAAGGCCGTAGGCGAAAAAAAATCACTTTTTAGTGTTCAAAGTAAAATATTTTAAGAATTTTAGAGGGTCAAAATCTCATAATTACTCCATGTAAAAATAGAATAATTTTTAAAATGAAATTAAAATTATTAAGTTATTTATGAAAAAAAATATTAAAATTCTTTTTTAGCGAATAGGAATCGAACCCAATATTAAATCATTAGAGACTTTGGTGCAGCCACGCACCTTCACCACTCGGCCACCCGCTCATATAATGGAGAATGAAAGGAATTAAATATATTTCTTTAATTTTCTTATTAACACCAAGTACGAGAAGTACGAGCTCGTACTTAGGCCTCGTACCTCGTACTTTTCACTTTTTTTGGCCTCGTACTCGTACTCGTACTTCGTACCAGGTACGAGTACGAGTACGAGGTACGAGTACGAATTTTGGTACGAGCTTCGAAGCACTGGCTGTTTCTTCCTATTTTCCTGGGTGTTTTAGGCTTTCTCTCTGAATGTAATTTTTGCTAGTTTCTAGCAAAAATCCGCGTCGGTCTTCAAAAATTTTTTTTCGATCGAGTTTTGGGTCCCTGCTAGTTTCAGGTCAATTTCCTAATTTCAGGTTACTTCATCAAATAATACAGAGCAAACAGAAAGAAATCACCATCAAATGCTACAAGCAAATAGCTCTTCTGTACTTGTACCTATGCGCGTGCCAAGCCCAGATAGGGTTAATACAACACATTCTTTGGTTGTAAATGCTGATATGGATGATGAGAAGCCTTTGCCTAGCGATTGGTTCATAAAACATTTTTTTAACTTTTTAAAAATTTATAAGAGTCTGAAAGCTTTAAAGCAGACTGGGACAAGATCTCGTTCAAGAATTTGGATTATCGAGATTTTTGAAAATATTGCCTTCGAATCTCAATCTATCCTAAAACCATGGCGCCTGTCCAGATTACGCGTCCAATGGAAAGTTCAAATTTTATTCGTTATCACATTTTTAAGTACCCAGTTCTTCATTTTGATCAAAAGACAGTATCGTGCGGGTGTAACATAACTTTGAGTGAGAAGATCTCTCTATTCCCTTCGATTTTATGGTACTAAAATAAAGAGACGGGTACTTAAAAAATGTGATTGGACGCGTAATTTGGGAAGAACCAGAACCTTTTCCTCTCCTCACCTCTATTTTATATCATTTTAGGTGTCACAATCCAGATGGCACTCTATACATACCTGATAGACAAATAACAGAACAAATCCCATCAAAACAACACCCAACAGAAATACCCGTTCAAATCGCCGGAGGAAAGAATAACAACAAATTTGTCAGTAAAAAGGGGAAAAAGACAAGTTTTGGAGAAAATGATGGAAACAGCAAAAGTTCCTCTGTAAGGAAATTTTTTGTAAAATTTTTTGACTCGAGACCTAAAGTTCACTAAAAGTCCAAAATCAAAAAACCCCAAGAAAATAGTCCAGTCAAGACCAGGACTGCACGCAATTGAAAAAAGATTCCGCAACTCGCAATCCGCAGCTCGCTATTGCAAGCTTAAATATAAAATTATTAAATTACTTAATATGTAAAAATACAATTATTGTTTTATTTATAAAATTTTTTGAAATTATTTCTTCGTGTTGTCTTGGTTGAGGATGATGTTATTTTTGGATAGAGAGTTAGTTAGTTAACTTTCTAAGGAATTTTAGAGCACTAACATGTTTGCAAAAGTTCCTCTGCAAGGAACTCTCCTCATAGGAGAGTGAAGAAACATATTTTAAAAACCGGGAGGCGCGAAACTTTAATGAGTGAAAGTTTTTAGAGATAAGTTGAATCAAAGCTTCGGTTAAATACA